ATATAGGGCCTTGGTATCGGTGATTCAACTCTGCGTTTATTGTAAAGTCTTGTATATTTTTTTGTAAACACATATGAATATAATATTGTTATCAGAAATTTGGGCGCTATTCTGCCACATCGTAATTAATCTAAGTTTTATTGAATGGATCTGTATAAATTTAAGAGCGTAATTCAAATCTGTGTGTCAAAAAGGCTGATGCTTACTGTCAAGTCTGTTGAAGGCTCCGTAAAATTCGGCCACCGATAGGGTACCATCCTTATCGACATCATCAAACACTAACATATCTGCTAGAATACAAGCCTGTGACAACTGGGCCATTTTGTCATCTTCCGATGCCCGCCATAACTCTTCCGCTTGAAGCAGGTTATCGCCATTGCTATCGTAATGAGCGAACATTGACGCCATCAATGAATCTGCGCCTGAAATTCACAGAAAATCCACAGAGTGAAGTTCCTTGAAACCGCTTGCTTGTAAATTATACTACATTTCTATCTTTGAGCTTGCCTCAAATCTGCTGCGCGCAAGTGTATAATAATTTAATTCATATTCACATATACTTATCACACAACATTTTTACTCAAATCTCAAAAAACAAGTTTTACTGAGAAAAATTTAATATCTATGCCATCTACGTAACGAATGGCTCAAAATCCAATATGCAGCCACGTACCTATTGGGCGCACGATATAGCCTATTGTTACTGTAACTATACAATCATGTGTTTAATGATTATTTTTGCCAAACATTGAGGATTTTAGAGACGAACAGCAACGTACGTACCAATTCTACGCAATGTATCTCGCTCTAACGGAAGGACTCTAATGGACGCACAATTCTAACTGCCCTATTGATCGACGTCTAACGCCCGCCATGTTTGTAACTTTGCCACTGGACAAAACGATGATGCTGGGCTTTTAATCTTGAATGGTCCTTCCCGCAGCGGGTTTACATACAAGCGAAGAATACACCGCAGCTGTTTTTCGACTTTTCAGACGAAGGTTAGTCTCAAATGAATCTCACCGAGGGCAAAGCAAATCCCATCGGAACCAGTCGTTATTCGTTTTAGGAGATCAGTGAGCTTATTTGCTTCCGCGCAGCGATCGGCCACGTGGTTAGCCCCTTGCCACTGGTAGCGGCGAAAGGGCAAGGGACAATTTGCTTTTGACAGCGCACTGCCCAAGACCGGTCCACATTGGCCAACGTTGCCAACATACCTGGGTCTATTAGGTGTCAGGAGAAGTACCTAATAGAAAATCATTAACTTGATTCTCTGGCTCGCTTAAACTCATGCATCCGAATACTAAAGTGATCACTCACTACTGACAAACTGAATCTCTGTACGATAATGAGCGGAGACCGGCCACAACTTGGCAGGTCAAGCAATACCAAAACACAGTTTGCGTTAACAAACTCAACACCAATGAGAACCCTTGAATTCATTTAATCTAAAACGACGATTTGACATAGACCAAAAACTTAACTTGCTGAGTATGCCTATCCACAGAGATGAGAATAGGCTTACTACGATCGCACAAAGCTTGCCGGAATTACAAATCTTCAGTATACTGTCCAGTTATTTGAGGTCATATCCTAACGATGGAGAAATTGATATAAGAAGCTAGCTATAGAGATGGCATCTATACTAACAGAAATGGCACCATCCACTGATACGGTCAGTCCTTTTGTTAGCTAAAACATAAGATTATCCTTCTGACCATTAATTCCTGAGTCGGAGCAACCGATCGAAGATCTTTTCGATAAAAGAGCTCGTTCATGTTGTATCTCGAATCTCATGAAAGGTTTGACGTATTATATAAAATACGTACGTTGTATTTTAGCTATACAGGTTATTAAACTGTACATTAGCTCTCCTCTCGATTATATTTAGCTTGCCATTTCTGTTGTGGTCACGCGGACTGCCCCACCACATGACGCGCATCGCACTCGACCAAAGCGGTGTGTCTACGGGCATACGCTAAGGCAAAGGTTAGTTTATGGGGGTGCTAGCTATAGCTTAGCAAAGGATAGTTAAAGAGATGTATTCTCGAAAAGAAATTTTCAGAAAAAGCATTTCTTTGCGCATTTCCGACGTGTGCTTCGTTTTATTCAATCGGTCCAGACGTTTGTGTTTGCCGACTGCGCGATGCCAGGGGACATTCTCTAGGCTTTCACGGAGCAGGCGAGTCGTCACGGCTGTTGCCATCGTTGATGCTGGGGGCTTCGATTAAATAACGAAGCCCCCTTTGGGAGTTCTTTTCCATGCCATTAGTTTTCATTAAGGGTGAGTTAGTATATGGGCTAAGGAGACCTTTGATTGCGGAGCGGTCGAGAAAATTAAACATTTAATACATAAAGCAACCAAAAGGATCAACATTTAGTTATCCAGCGTTTACCAACGAATGAAAAAATACGATCGATCAAAGCGAAGGTACATTTATCCATTAGGAGTCTTAATCAACATTGGAAAAATGATAATTTTCGAATTTTAGTGATACGTTCGATGGATGAGTAGACGAATATTGATCGATGAACCGTGTCTTTAGATATAATACAATACACATAAAGCTGTAACCAAACGTTTTTGGGAAATCTACGCACAATATTTTCCTTTACTGTGAAAGCATTCTGAAAAGTTCGATATCTTTAAAAGGGCGTATATACCTAACAAAGCTTAATTCTACATTTATATTTTTCACGATTTTTAAGCGCTATCATGGGTGGAATCGTGGGCGCAAGCAGCTAACCTTAAACGAATTTGCGATGCATTGGAGCCTCACAGGTTAGGCCAGTTATGTGAGCCCAGAAATATGAGTGGACCTACAGGTTCTTCGATATAGAGTCCAAACCATACGAAACGCTGAAACATGATAACGTTTCGACCTCTAGGAGTAGATCAAAACTGTTATTGAAAAGCTGAATGACTTACCCCCAAGACGTTTTACTTCTCCATTATTTGAATAGAATAAAAGGAGGTTTTCCTTCATGAAATCATAATCTTGTTGACCACATTCAAGGTCCTCCATTAAACCCGACTCCTCCGCATCTATTTCCTCTTCGGCTGATATCTCTAGTGCTGAAAATATACATATTTAATTAATTGGCTATTTAGCCGAGTATTTGGCAAAAAAAAGATGGCTTATTTTATTTGAGCAACGAATTTAACTAAGGCCAAGTTTGCATGCGTAAAAAATTACGTGCTGGCTCAGAAGCTTGAAGAAAGAGATATGGGTTACAGTGCATTGTTTTCGGTGGAACTGATGTCCATGACTGCATTTCTATATTGCGCATGTGATTTGCTTTTAAATAATTCTACCTAGCAATTATTTTTTTCACTCACAGATAGCTACCAAGGTTAGAAAACGAGAATTCACGGAAAGGAAAACATATTGATAGCGAACGGTCTTAGGATTTAGCCATTTAAATTAAGGTGTGATATAAAACAGAATTCATTAAAAAAAAAATAAGGCATATCTGTAATAAAGTCAGATCAATAGTAAATGCAAACCCCGAACTGCTTGCACCAGTTCTTCGACGCGTTTAGGTTAACCCACAGGGAAACTAATTGTACCATATCTGCAGCTCGAATCAAATTTTAAATCTTAGGATTGTTAATACATGATCTAGTTGGCAATAAAGTCGTCTTACAGTCTTTGGATGACCTGCTGGAGGGCAGTGGCTTCTGGGTCGTCGTGGTCGTCGTGCTACTGATTTCAACCCAGGCAAGATTGGGCTCCACCTGGCGATTTGTAGTTTTTGATTTCTTCACTTTTAGCTGTGCGGTCCTTTTGCCGACTAACTGCTTTTTCGGCAATCCACTAAACACGGGATCTTTAAATAGTTTCCTTGATGGAAAAACGTTTTTATTTTTGTAACATGTCCTTTTGCGGTCAACCTGAAAATTCAGACCAACAGTGAACACTATCAGTAAAGGGATATCATAGAAATGGAGCCACGCAGGAAATCGTTAATTACACCGGTAGCACATTTCTTCGCTTAACGTTGCGAAAAATTCTGGCGAGACCTGTTACGACCTTCTATTAAATATTCGAACACGATAAAAATCGTCACCTAGTACGGGAAAGTGACATTTAAAAAACCTTGAACACGAAACCTGAAGTTGTAAAATAGTTTTCCCCCGGCGAACAGACCTCCTGTAATTTTCTGGTATCTAAAATGTAGACTATTACTGCACCTGGATATCGTCATTGGAAAGGCAAGCAGCTCTTCGTAGTTCGCAGTGGTTTGCATAGGCTCGACCGTCGCTGCCACAAAGAACTTTTTTGCCTCTTCCGCCAGGGGAACACCGACGTTGGCAGACACATTCAGCGTCCCCTTCGTCGGACACGATGCACTCACGCCAGCGGCCGCATTCGCGCGAGTCACATGGATCCCCCGTATCTATAAAGATGATCATATTATAAGCGAGTGTTCGTACTGTAATAGCTCAGAATGTAGTCATCTAGAGCAAATTTTGATAGTTCGACTCTGATATTATAGTTAACTTATCTCGATATAACTTCGAAAGACTTATCGCTTATTTTCCTTTTAGGACATTCAACATTACTTATTTTTATTATTATTACACACACTTTAAATAATTGAGAAAGGTTTAGTTTAGTCATCATCAGTAATAATATTAATGGCCAAAATACATGCAATACTACCGATCATGACGTTTAGATCTAGGAAAAGGTTTGTTTTTACATAATACTGAGTGTTCTTTAACCGCAGTAATCGCCTTTTCTTTGAATAGGTAAGCCTATTCATTGAGCCTGTTTTATTTTAGATTTGTCCGTGACGCTATCGGTAAAGCTACTGTTAAGGTTCCGATCCATAAAAGAAGTCTCTCTATATCCATATTCTCTTATAACGTTTCAGATTAACGTTGTGACCGGAAAAAGGGGTTTTGGAGCAGACTACCCGTTTAAATGAGCACGACATCTTTCTGATATCCTCATAAACTTCAACACACTCCGTACGACTACCCGCCGTTGAGCTCTATGTTAGTCTATAACCCGGATGTTTGTTTGTTCATCGACCCTGTGTTGCAAGCGCCACGTCCATCTACGATTGCATCCAACTGGGGATAAAGCGAATTGGCAGAGCGGGTTTTCAACGATCAACCGTTGCAGCCATCGGATACGCCAAAGTCGTTCGTTAACTGTTCGCGGCTGTGCTTTGAAACCACGGTAATAACGGGATGAAGCGACTGCTACGTAGCCTGTCGGCGTATACACACGTACAGAGAGCGCAAAGCGGCTTAAGCAGAGGTAACCCGAAAGGCCAATTGCAAACAGGCAATTCTACAGTAAACACGATGCATAATTACGGGAAGTGGAGCTCTTCGACTGGGTTGTTGTTAGGTTCGATCGGTTTGCTTAGCCAAGCGTTGTACCTTCCTGGATCGCTCATTTTTGCATTTTCTCTCGTCAGAGTGGCCGGTCAGTCCGCCTGCGTTTCTGCAAATTCCAAGCGTAGCTACCGCCGCTGCGCGCTTGCTCCGTCCCGGAGTCATGGCCAGCGCTTCCACGGCTCAGTGGTCATTCTGGACGACCAACGCAAACATATTCGAGTTGTCTGGACAAGACTCACCCGGACTCATTGGAGTTAGCGGAACTCCAGTTGGTTACGTCCCTTGGTACCGATGCCCTGCTGGCGCCGACGGCCTAAGCAAACTCTCTGCTGCTGTGGTGATGATTTGGGCGGCGGTGGTCAGCTTGAGAGTCAGCTCTCTGAGTGACACCAGTTGCACGAACAATCGTGTATGAGCGCGTATTTTATTATAGCGTATAGTATGTTTAGGCTAAAAGAACTGGGTCGTATCAGTTGGTTTGTGAGCTGCCTATTTGATTTGTGAAATTGATGTAAATAAGTTTTACTTAAACTAGCCACGACTGCTCAGCTAGAAAACTATTGGCTTACTCAAATCTGAAATTGAGGCCTAAATAACAGTTTCCAAGTTTCGATATCATAAAGTAGGCGATTTTCTAAAATATCACCTATTATCATGAAACAATACTGCTGAGGTGGTTTGGACGTATAACAAAACGTATAATGATCTATGCTTGTTCTAATCTAACAAGCGAAAGGCCACTATGTAAATACACTGATAATCTAAATTTATCATATACGGAACATATATGTATATCCTTGAAAACTCTACTGAAATCATTTTATGTAAAATTCTACGGTTAGATCTTCTAAAGAAGAAATATATACACGTAGGCATAGTAGCTTATGCATTTGCTGACGTTCGAAGGATCAAGAGACGTAAGCGTTGCTTAGGTTGTGACGTGTGTTTATCTGCATAAAGTTTACATCAGGAAGCAGCGAGAAAAAAGAATCAGTAGTAAGAAAAAACCTGCTCGACCCGAAAGCTAAAACCAATGAAATAAAGAACAGCCCAACAACGGACAAGCCGGGTAGGACACTGACACGGAGAATAACTTAGGACAGTAGAATGCTTGGGAGGCTAAACGAATCGTGGCAGAGTGCTAGCAAGCCGACAACTAACTGTTGTCAAAATCAGACCCTGATTTCCCAGAATTCTCTTCCTTGCAAGTCCGCTTGTCTTTTTTGGGACACACAGATCTTCCTATTTCCAGTCTTCTTCAATCTTAGGCTTCACTGTCCTGACCGCTTTTCTGACAATGCTGCACACGACATAGTCGAATCTTTCCTCTCATCCTGTCGTTCTCTCGCTCTTGGAATCGTTGTCGACCAGTACGGTTACTATCGTTAGTCCTCGGTAGCAGCTATGCGAACTCCTGCTGATCCTGATCGGGCTGAACTGTCCAGTGATCGTCTGGCAGACAACACAATGACGCTGACGCTGCTGCTGTTTTTCATGTCCTCGACAGCGAAACCAGATGGCAAGCCTAAGACAACCAACGAGACGATGAGACGAGCATCCCCTCCCTCTTCTTCATTTTCTTACGCGCGTACAGTCAACAAAGAAAACAACGAAGGGATTGATGGACCCTCTGAATAGTCGGCGTCGTCATCGCTGCCACTATCTACTTCCTACTACTGAAGGAATAAACAGTACTGACGGCTCAGAGACAGACTGCGATGTTTGTCAGCAGGAAAGTACACTCGTTCGGGGACGCAAAAGCAAAAGAGAAAAACAGTTGAAACAGATTGGAACAACGGAAATGAAAGAGCCGGAATTGTGAATGTGTCTCGGTGATAACTAAGGTAGTAGCTAGGCTAGCATCAGTCGTTCATAAATTGCGTGTTTGATTCCGAACATTCACTCGGAGATTCTAGTGGAAATCCTTCAGACGGAAATGTTCTTCCCTGCAAGGAATTTGAGTGTAAGCCAATTTTGGTAACTTACGATTTTATTGGAGTGGGAAACGACGAAAACCAAGACGGCGAAAACTCAGGAGAACTCTGGTTTATAGGTCACTAAAATTACCGGAGGCTAATGATATAGAGTCCATCAACTTGCACCTGAAGTCGTAGCTTTGATCTTAAGCGTCAGATATAGCAGAAAGGAGGAAATAGTTTCAAAGGAGAAAGGAGAATGCTATCAACATGCCAAAGTGCTGGAAGGACACATACGGACTGTGTATGGCTACGAGGTGAACCCGACATGCTGCTTAAATTTCATTGTGGTGTTTAGAGACACTTCAGACCGAAAGGCAGCTTAATTTAAGCGGCTGATTAAATCCGCAGGAGTGACGAATATACTATCGACCAGATGATGGATCCGACCGTCATACCTGTACATAGCAGCTTGGCTTTCCACTAATAACTATCAGGTCCGAATGTAACAGATATTAGGTACATATTACTTACAGAACAGTAGCAGAAATCAGCAAGTTACCAACAATTTACCAATATGAACTCTACACACGGCGTACCTATGTGTCGAGACTGATTAATACTGCACCAAATATGTAGACTCGTGACGAACTTACCCTCCCCCTCGCCCCCCATAGTTACCGCCAGAGGGCAGTCCAAATCATGAAGTAGGGCAGAAGCTTTATACAACTGCAAACCTAGTTAATGTGTTTCTGACTTTAGACAAAGACTCTAATAAGGCTCTATTCAGGTACCGAAATACGAGCTACAACATAACTCGACTGCCTAATTTCTGAAAAAAATGTTGGACCATCACCACCAGTTTTAAGCAACAATAGAGACAATCATGCCGCCGCCCCCTTTACCGTATATATTTACTGAGATTTGCTCAGGTATTCTGCCATGTATTTAATTTAGCTTGACGACTTCGCGTAACTTCCCATTAAGTTAGGCTGCAATTACTTAACTTACAGCATGATCTATTACTTGTCTAGTATCTATCGCATCGACTTTTGAAAATCTTAATCGTAAAGCCATAATCGTGGTTGAGAGCTTTCGTAGCTCGAATAGAAGAATGCGGCATTTCGTGCGTCGTTCTAGGGTGACAAGATCGGCCTGAGTAGGATATTAGCTTCTCGGAATTTAATGAAGCGTGTAGCTAACTGAAAACTCCCTAAAAAACAAAATGGGGCATTAAATATAAAAAGCAATTGAATATAATGATACTCAAACCGATGTTAAGTCATCGATTCTACTTAGCTGCTACGAGAACGTTATGAATTTATAATACGTATAGATTCTATCCTTGAAGTAGATTACTAACTTAGGTCCGAATAAAAATACAGTTAAAGGTTGATATAATAATATTACCTTGCTTACATTCAAGGCCAGGCGTTATAGACAGCCATGTTTGATTAATTCCAGATCATTAACGCTTGATTAATTTATAACAAGTGGTCAGCGCAGGGCTATAGACAGAGCGGCTGGAATTAAAGTTCCTTATTTTTATATTCGTGCGCGTTGTTAACACACGCAGCGACCTTGACGCTGGTCTATATGACGCCTAAATAATGTACAGCGTACTATAGGCGCGTCGCTACGGTAATGCAAAAGGAATACCTTATTAGAAAAAATGATCAGGCTACTGTCAATCGGTTTACTATCTTGGTGTTCTGTGGATGTTTACTATATAGGCCACTAGGATAGCCTAGCACGCGTCATTAAATTGCCGACATACATACATATGTATGTGTGTGTGTCGGCAACGATCAGATGATGACAATGTAGTGAAAGGATGCACAGCATACTCAGTTCATGTATCCGTCTAAAATATGTCGGTTGTCGAACTTACTTCTAGGCAATTAACTTTCATACCTTGAAGTGAAACATCATCATCTTGCTGTTTCGGCTGCTGCTCGTCTCCATTTCGTACGCTTGGTGATGCTGACCGATGCTGTTGGGTGTTTCTTAGGTCGTTAGGAAATTCCTGCACTGTTCCCCTAGGTGACTCTTCGGAGCTCAGGTCAATTTGCTCTCCTTCGCTAGCCCCCGTAATACCGTCCTCACGGTAGTGCCGTGACTAAACAAATTATATTCTACTATTAGCATTGCGTACCTTTGTCACTCTCCATGGATGAAAATTCCGCCATGACGAATGACACAGTGCACCGTATTTAAGCTCTAAAAAACATCTATCCTCTTACACACAAAGGTTTACTTCTGTTCGAAATATGTCGGAGGTTCAATATAGAAAAGTATATTTATATGTAGAAACTCAATCTAGGCCTATAAAACCTAAAAATTTGATATCGAACCAATAGCACAAATTTGTCCCCGCAGTGTGTCGCAACGTTCCGCATATAGCGAAATACTTACTTTGGCACTTGTGAGTGTAAATAGTCCGGGCAATAAAAGTATTAAAAGAAGTGCTGAAGATAGGCGCCACCTCATCCTGAAATCCTGAAAACAATCGAAACAAACAAAGTGTAAGAATTTAGTACTACTAAAGATATACAGGACTATCAGCAAATCCTAGTTCAAGTTTATTAGCCTTAAAGAATGTCGCATGCGTATAAACAGTTATGAAAAACCACACTACAGCTTTTTCCATTATGATTGGCTAAATACATATAAATATGACAAAATTTTGTAGACGCTTGAATACATCTACTAAGGACCGTACGGCACTCAGGTCTGTTTGAGTTCTACTTGCCCTTTATCGTGTCTATCTATCTACCTCTAATCTCTATTCGTTTAGCCTCTCTAGCATTCAATAGTCAAGCTAGCTTACAGCAGCATCTTAGAGACTCGGGCCTAATTCTTGCTAGTCTCCTTATTCTCAGTTTTAGCATCACTGTATTATTAACATATCATAGAGGTTTGTTCCTTCCCAAAACGAAATCAAGTTGGCCCCGCTTATTCTTCCCAGATTCCGCTTCCATATTTAAATAAGCCGCTTTCCTTTGCTAGCTACATTTTCTCTTTCCCCTTGCACCCCTTTGTCTTTTTTTGGTCGTCGGTCCTTTTTCGACGTGCTTTTAGTAGTGGTGGTTATCATTCTTCTCGGAATGAGTTAGGACAAGGGGGGGGGGGGGGTAAAGAAACGAAACAGCACAAGCTGTTGGCAGAAGCGCCAGCATCATCAGCTTTCCAAACCAAACTTCTTTACCGCGGCTGCACAAATGGACATAATTTATATTCAATCACTGGGGCGCTATTGCGTTGCAATACAGTGACTGCTAGGACCGCCAAAGGCCTACCGACAAGTCTCGTTTTGCTGCCTCTAAGCTGCTGCTGCTGCCGCTACTGCTACTGTTCTTTTCCTCGTTATTGCTCCTTTGTCCAGCCGTACGTTTCTCATCAGATGCATGAGAGGTTTTGCCAGCTGGAACAATTCAGTTTGCCATTGCCCATCTTCTGCCAGGAGAAACCGACGCTGCTAAAAGCACTTGTGGTACGAGGAACCAGGAGGACTAGATTGGCCCCGGCCACTTTAATAGGCCAAAGCTGCCGAATCTCTTTTCCATCCGCTTTCCATTGAACAAGAGAGAAAATGAGAAAGGCAGAAATCGAAATAGGGGCAATAAGATGCCAACAGTGGTATCATACAACGACGCAATGGGAAAGGGAAGTCGAAGAGAAATAAACGAGAAGATGACCTCACTAGTCGAGAGCAACGTGAAAACATTGAAACGGAGTTTCATCTCCTTACAGGCCTGTCCAATAGGCCGAGTACGATAGAGTAGACAAATGTAGAAAAACTGTCGTTTCAAATTCTATGTGAGCAATTAAACTCTGAGGGTATATAATAAAAATTGCGGACGAAGGACAAAGGCACGATGATGTCCTGTATGACCTCCTACCCAGCGAACAGGGGGAGGCGCTCCTCCCTGCATCTCCATGTTGCACCACAAAAAACAAATGGCGTCCAATTATTAAGATTCTTCATTCCAGTGGTTGGTGTTGCTATTGCTGGTAAACTGACGAAATAGTATGTTCTCTGAATTGTTCTTAGAAAGTGTAGTTCGACTAATTGGCATGCTCTAGTAACTGCCCTCATATGGAATGTAGGATTCAGTACAGCTCTTCACAGATTTTTATTTGAATCATTATTTCAACACTTAATTTCAATAATTTAAGCAAGTACTACAGTCGACACGTCTGACGTCGTAAGGGGCACGTAACGGATTTAAAAATTGGAAAGCAAAATCTTGAAAATACACGTTCATTCGTTTAATCTTGCAGGTAATAAAAGCTATACGAACCTAGCACAAGCGAAACGTCTATCACGTAAAAAATCTCAAACTCTTCAAAAAATCCATTTATTGTGATGAACCGTTCCGGGCAGTGCTTTACCAAAAACAAGTATCAAAAACGGCGAATTTAAATATAGTAGGATTATTATGGTACAAATAAATAGTGAAGTTTCTAAAAGTTTCCAGACCAAGCTAAATGTGCCAATAATATAAACAAGTAAATTGCCTTATTTTTCATGTGACCAATAAATCTGTCTGTGTTCTGGAAAAAAAAATAACTTATAGCATTTTGCACAATAACTTCTTAGGTGTTGCAACTCTTTCAGAAAGCAACTTTGCTGCAGCGGAAATTTTGTATACACGCGCATCAAATTTGAAACGCCGATATCGCCAGATCGTGCCATCAGCAGGTCGGAAGAAATCTATCTCTTTGTCTTTTATTTTCTTTTCTCAAAAAAGGCGATTCAAGCTTTCGCGACTTAGCATTTTCATTGGGTTTCTTTCGGGTGCAAATCCATCTAATGCGGGAGCAAGTGGGTTTTCTGGAGCGTGAGGGATTCCCAAGCACTTTACGCACGTCAACGTGAGAGTGGTCCATTCCTCTGCTTGCGTACGAGTAGTTCTAAACAAATTTACGCCGTCTGAACGAGCGGCATATTCTAAAGGTTACTTCACTGCATTCCGCCGCCTCTCCAGCTCAGCGCATCTTCCCGCTCAAATACGCTTTCGGTAGTTCTTCGTTTGGCTATTCCAAAGTACACAAGCAGACTCTAGAAGCTGATAATAACAGATAAACATCCGAAAAAAATCCAGGTAATGCTACGAGGTCTTAATACTGGTATATACATACCTATGTATACGTACGTCCTTTATGCAAACGACGTCTTCAAGACGACAATAACGTCGATACCTATGCATACTTCAGCGCCAAACATCTTTCGTGCTTCATCTGTTCCGACTAGATGTTTTTCTAGCTGTACGCTTATCATATATGTATATAAACCAGATGTATATATTTTTCGGATGGAATATAATGCAGATGACGTTAATAAAAAGGTAGCTCACGTTCCTACTATCAACAAGTGGGATTATACAAAATTATGTTTTTCTTTGCTCATGTAGAAGATATATATACATATGTATTTATAACGTTTGCAACCAACAACGCCTTTGTCATTCTCGCATTAACTGCTCCCAAACGTCACAGCGTCCGATGTTTCGTAGCTTGCTTTATTAAGGTTCTGTTAAGTGCAATAACTGAGCTATCGTTCCTTCGTACTTCGATTGAACCTGGAGGCGGCAGAGCCATTTGCGACCATTTTTAAAATATCAGTACAAAAAACACGAACTGACTGACATTGACTGGCGACACATTGCAGGCCTCTGCCGTACCTGTCTATCAAAGGACGACCTGTAGGATACTAAAGTACAACAGATTTGCTAACAAAACATAGTCGTTTTGCAACTTTTTAGTTTCGAAAGTAATAGATTTTTCTCTTTTCAATGGATATGAATTCAAGTAAATCTGGCGGCCAAATGAAACGGATATGAAATGACGGTAGAGTTGTATAGCTTTGTATACTCGTAGTTTTAGTTAATTAGAAAATAGTGTACTGTCGACTTGAATGGTCAACCCAGTGGGCTGGCTACCTGGGAGTGTCTGTCTAAAGCCATACAATTTCTGTGCATACATTGAAAATAGCAGCACCCTTCAGACCACTGTGGACAACTAGAGACAATCGAGCGAAGTAACAAGTTTTACTTATAGTTTCGTACAATGCTGTTACTCGGCAATAGTAGCAACTTCAGGTAGAACGAGGAGGAAAACGGAGTGAGGCTTGGAGTGAATCCAGCGTCGCACAGGACCCACAGGACCGACGGTTGCCGGTTAGCTTCCTTTTGTCTCGTTTCTATCCCTTCACAAGGACAATAATGACTCAGTCCGTTATCGCTTGTCCGTCTCCAACGCACGTGCGGACCCCCTCTCTGTCATAAACAAGAAATTTCTTTGCTTTCCACTCAGTACTTATACAATGTCCCAATTCTACTTCAACCGTCCTTCCAACTGTATTCGCGTTTACGTCACGCTAAAGCGACAGGGGCAAATTCAAAGACAGTTTGCTTCTGATGTTGTTTTTGTCGCCATCGTTACAGCTCTCGTGTCGCTGCTTTTGTTGTCATGGCCTGCCTTGTTGCTACCACTGTTCATTCGTGGCTGCCCTAAAAGGGAACTCCAATACAACAAAAACGAATAAGACATTATTATGCGCTTGCAAACTGCCACAGACAACTTTGACCTGTTTTGTAGCAGTCTACAAAGCACAGAAAGAAAAGGTCAGCTACCGGGAACAGACGGAACCGAGCCAAGCTACGATGACCAGCTCGTCGCCGTCGTCGTGATGTTTGTCGCAGCTGTATGACGCAACTGCCTTTGTGCGTTCGCTTCGGCCGCGCGTGCAATTACTGCCGGAGCACTATTATAGCCCCGACTGTGACGCTGCCAAGCCTACATGTGGTTGTACTCGTCTGGAGTCAACCGGGACGCCATCTACCGTAATCTACGCCATCCAGCACTGCACTGAATGTATCGCTCTTTCTTTACCCTTGTCCGCTTTTCCCTACCTTCTTTCCTTTCAAGTTGTCCCTATTGTGTATTGTCGTTGTTGCAGACAAAATGAAATAGCTTTGAGAATTTATGGGCTCGTAATGGTGCCGCGTACTTTAAAACCGGCATTCATTTAGCACAATGGGTTTAGGTTAGGTTGTTCTTCTTTGTTCGTCAATTTTCTTCCAGACAGTTAACGAGTAGCTCTGACCCAAGTACATCTAGGTCTTTAAAGGCCAGACGACTTCAAACATTAATGACCGATAGCTATTTTCATAGATCCGCGTGTACTATAGGGTGGTAACTATTCAACAAACGTGTCTCTTTATTAGAGCTTGTATCCCGATACCACTGAGAAAAATGGCTCGCCTTCTATGTTTATATGTGAACATGGAAACCTCGAAGATTACTGTATATTTTTTTAGCAAACGGATTTCAGCTGTATCAAAAAAAAAACATGTGGAACAACAGAAGTAACGCCTTGGACGTCTCAACTGCAACGTTGTACTAAGAAACAGTGCCAATTAATTAGATGTGCTTACGTTGTGAAAACTTGGGTGAATTCGTAAGTTGTATGCCTAGGCGATCGTTGATCTTCT